TCATTGTAGGAAAAACAGTTGATTGGTGCATGACATGTAATCAAAGTTGATTGGTGAATGACATATGATCAAGTTGAAATTTTGTGGAATAGAGTGGAGAAATGTCTTTGATAGGTCAAAAAGATGAAAATGAGTCTATAATGTGCCTTCGGATGTTGGATGGACAGTGCTTTCTTGTTTTGGGCTGGATTTGGTAGGCCTGAAAGGCTGAATGGTTTTGATTTAACTGGGCTAGGCGCGGCTCTAAAGAAAAACTCCCCGTTTACCGCCAGGGCTATTTCTCGCACCATGCGAGACATAAGTCGCTCTCGCCTCTGGACGCGAAGAAGCGGGTCAGCCCAGTACTGTAGAACCTCTGGCCTGCGTGCTTTTCTTTTTTACTCTTTGTTTTTTTTTCTGTTTTTGTTCGTTCCTTCACAGGTTTTCTGTTTTTTTTTCTACTTCTCTTTACTAGTTTTTTAGGTTTCCTTTTTTTAAAATACATGTCTAAATGCCAGTTCTTTTGCTATCTTCTATAATATGCTGAAATAAGCTATCCCTTACCTAGGCTATTCTAGAAGCGCAACTAAATTTAGTTTTTTAGAAGCCTACTAACTAAGATTTTTTTGCGAGGTTACTAACTAAGAATTGACTAGTAGGACTCTAAAAAAATTGGTTGGGCTGTCAGAATAAGGTGGGTCAAGAGCAGCTTATTCTAGAAGGCAAAAAAACCCACCAAAAGAATTAGCCCTGAGAGAAGGGCTAGCACCTCTCTGTATATATTTGCTATACACGCCGAACAGTTTTTTTTAAGTTGAACAATTTTCAGATACACGTTGAATTATTTTTAACTAGTTGAAATATTTTTAACTAGTTGAAATATTTTTGTTTACATTGTATAAACTGTTTTATAAAATTTCAATTTTTTTAGAAAGCCACAAACATTTATTTAAAATATCACGTGCATTTTTAGAGTGGTACTTAACATTTTTCTATACTACACGAATTTTTTTTACATTATATAAACATTTTAAAAAAATTAGGTATATTTTTGTCTGAGTATTTTTTACACTGCATGAATATTTTTAATAGGTAATTATCGTTTCTAAATATTAAAAAAATGTGTATCAATTTCAAAAATATAAATAAAAGTACTAAAGCAACATAAAAAGGAAAACATGTGCTAGGGGCCAGCCCTGCCTCCCGCGATGGATTGGCTCATATATGGGAGTGCCTGATGCGATGGGTTCTTTCGGCTCGCTATTTAGCGAGACAAGGCCATCCCCCTGTTTACCTAAGAACACCTGCAAAAAGGGATGCACGTTTACCTATTTAGTTTTCTGAGGCATGCACGTCGCATATCTAATGAATGAGTGTGTAGTTGTTTCTTGCACATATGACCTTAGTGCATACTAAAGAACTTAAATGGTTTTTTTTGCATTAACTAGCACGATGCTCGTACATTGCTACGGAACCAGAGGCTTGGAGGTAGTGAAATAACGTTAGTGTCCTTTATCAATGTTGTCAGAGAATTTTAAATGAACATATTAGGTTGGGGAAAGAACTAAAATTGAGATCAATTTTTGGTTGAAGTCGCCTTTTTGTCTTTGTTATTTATGTCTTTTATAAGTGTCATACGAAAGTAGTGTATGTGTTTATTTATGATAAATCTCATATGTGAGTAAATTATATTTATTTATATGTCTCTTGGAGTCCCTTTGGGGACACCCAATAAAATATATGTCACTTGGAAGGTTGCTAGTTTCACATGTGGGGGTGCATGTATTTGTTTATGTAGAAAGAATATTGGACCCATATGCGCACTCATCATCAACTCCAATCTTTATAAGTAGGAAAGATGAGTGTCTACGAAACTCTAGAAAGTGGAAGCGAAAATGAAACACTAAGGGAAAGACGAAGGGAATAGTCACAGCCGTTCAGTTTCGTCTTCCACAAGCGCAAAGACGTTTTGGCTTCTTGTTTTGCATAAAAGAAGGTTGCGCACACGCGACATAAGTCCTAACGCTACTCGGTCATGAAACACGATGCGCGTGGGAGGCAAGGTGGGCGGTGGAGGAAGAGTGCGCGTGTATGTGCCATCTTTTCAAAATTTTAGTGGCGTGTGAAATAACTCACCTTATATGTTGTTCTACCACACCCTTCACTAATAAGGCGAGAATAAAATTTTCACACCCTTTGTCATGCATGAATGAACCACGCGAGCCTCTGGGATTTTCCTAAAAAATTATTGGATAGAATAGATGGGCTAAATCCGCAAAATTCCAACAATAAATTGTGTAAATTGTTTTCTTTTGGTGTTGATGCTGGTGTTGTAGCTGGCCAAGCTGTATTTTATCGTTTACTATGCGTGCCTTTTGTTGGTGTCGTACTTAGATTAATGTTGGGTGGTTATTGGCTCAAACATGCCATCTCTCTGTTTATGTGTTGTTAGCTTTGTAAAAGACCATGTTTTCTATATATGAAATTGGAGGGGGCTGAGACTTTTGAATAGTTGTTAACATCTATTTCGCAAAAATGCTAAACTCACGTGCATGTTACATTTTTTTAGGGTTACATGCATTTTACATGGAGTAGTTGTAATGACCACCCCGCAAAACCCTTGTAAATGTCTGTTGATGTAGCATTAATGTTTATTTAGAAAATGCGCACTATCGACAACTTAATCATAGCATAAGGTGGCTTGCCATTCATGAAGAGGCAAAATAAGAAAAAATACTATTGCGCGCTAGAATTGGATATAGCAAAGGCTTACGATAGAGTGGGATCATATTATCTTGAGGCGACCATGATCAAATCGGGTATACACAGCTTGGTGGACACACCACGTACACGGCATTGGCACAAGATTTGCTTAAGATGGACCTAGTGACACGATCTCACAGCCTGGAGACGACAAAGGCAGCAACGGGCATGGGAATCTTAGCAGCTAGTACAAGCTTCATCCATAAGGCAACGGCTTCTTTTGAACATTGCTCACATTGCTTATACTCCACACGGCTGGACTTACGAAAAAAGCTGGACGTTTCCCTTACACCGAGAAAAGGTCGGGCGTTTCCGTGAGAACAACAAAAGGCACTTGGTATATACGTGGTGGAAAAGCGCTACTAGTATGTGACAAGGCTTGCCATATATACATGGTGGAAAAGCGCTGCTACGTGCCAAGGCTTGCCGATCACAGAGCGTTGCTTGAATCATCTCCGGTGACTTGATCAATACCTACGCTAGCAAAGTTGGAGATAACGCAAGAGCTGGTTACACAACGCGCGTACCCGGACAGAAGGGATGGTGCTTTTGTTGCCACATGTTCGTGGGTGCGCTAGGCTCTAGCGAGGCGTCGCGACGACCCGGACAAGAAAAAGAGGAGATAAGTAGAGGTTTTTGTGAACACACCAAGCTTATCTTGGCAATGTTACTAATTGTGGAGTAGGTCGAGGCTGATCGTAATGGTGAGTATCATATACTAGTATCATGCATATAATATTAGTGTATGATACTTCATCCGTAGTGCATAGTATCATAGCTAACTTCATTTATTGCCATACAGGACACATAGTAGCACATCATTTAATATGATACGGTATCATGATATAATACTCAACCCTATATTTCTTCATTTAATTCTATGCCACCTCATCAAATTTGCCTAGTTGGCATGCATGATACTACCTATGATACTGTCATTACAACCAGCCTAAGTCATCTTAGGTTGTGCACCGCAATCAAGACGGAGGGGAAAACAAGAGAATTTTATGTTTATTTGCTAATTAATAACATAACATGCAATGAACTAACCACTACATGTCGTGTTTGATAGTCTCAAGTCATTGAAAGCATGCACACCACACATCTCTTATTGGTTGATATGCTAAGAAACAAAAACGAGGTGGGAATGAATGCACCGCGCCTAAGTGTTTTGAGATTAGTATTTGGTTTCGTAAGTTGACTTATATACCTAGGAGGAGGGAGTATGTGTAATAAAGGTTTTGATATATTTTCTAAAACAAAGTAGATGATACAACAATAGGTCACGCCCCTCGACAAAAAAAATGAGGTCATGTATCAACCGGAAGTGTCCTCCACGTCAACGTATCAACCTTGCCAATAGGTACGGACCCAAAAAAATGTGGAAAGGTATCAAGTATCACAAGTCATTTACAAACACATATTATACAAAAAAGAAACATATAAATCCTTAGGGGTTTAACCTCCTTTTCAAAAAAAAAAAATCCTTAGGGGTGCCAAAAATTTCTTCCTTTTCCATCCACGGGGGGCACATGAGCCAAACTCGATCCTGCCTCTGGGCCTTCAACTTGGTGGAGCAATTTTTTTGTGGTCACAAGAGGGAAATGATACATGTCTTTTTCAACAGACATGATTGCCACATGTTAATTGAAAGTTTATGGTTTGGACTCAAATTAACGCAACTCAAGAAATAAAAAAAAACACTTAGCTAACTCAAATTAATGCAACAAGAATGTACTATTCATGTGATAAATCTAGTTACTAATATTTTTTGTGTATATTGTTACTGGTTAAAACTCTCAAGCATTCTTGCGCGCATGCAAACATGTGTGAATACGACAAAGATTTGTATATCTCTTATACTCTTGTACACATTTGTTTTTCGAGCAACTTAACTAAGTCCATATTAATGGGACTGGCTATGCGCGAGTCGATTGAAATCTCAAACAGTTTTGCTAAAGCACATCTAGATATGCCCTATGTATTGCACATCTAAATCTCATGTCCTTGATTTTACACGGAGATTTGTGTAAACATTTTCTTTCCTCTTTTTTCTTTTCCTTCCTAGTTTGATTGAGCCACTTAGATGTGTAATAACTAGGGAACATCTAGATGTGCCCTAGACAAACCCGATCTCAAATTGGGTCAGTCGATCATTCTCAACCCTTTTTTTGTGATCTAACGGCTGCCGAATTATTTTCCATCTCCTGACGCAAATTCTTCCAACCACCGCCACTGACCACCGGCCGAACCGCCGGCTACCACTGCCCGCGGCCGTCGGCGCTCCCGCGCAGCCTCACCGCCCCGCCCTCCCTGGAACCCCCTTCGACCAACATACTACCTTTGCCCCCGGCCATCCCTTTAGCCCCGGTGCTGACGTAATTTTCCCCGGGCGAACTTGCGCCGCCGCTGTGCTGCCACCCCCGTCGCCGCCGTGCTGCCGCCCCCACCTCCCATCCTAAGATAGATGATGGGGTAGCCTGCCCAGTGAGCTTCTCCCTCCCCTCCGTGAGTTTCTTCCTCCCCTCCGATTGTTTTCCCTTCAACCAAAATCGACTGATCCAACTTAGAAACTCAATCGATTGACATATAGCTATTGTGCATATTAATAGCTAGCTAGGCTGGCGCCTTCAGTGAGACTAGACAAAAGGACCAAAGTGAATGAAATGCCGTCACACTCCAGTACTTCGAAAAGCAAATGAAATGACTGCAACAAGAAGAGCGAGGGGCCAGAAGTAGAAACTCTTCCCGGCCACCTGCGCCCCGATACAGTTTATTTCACACATATATATGGACCAAACGGACAGATAACACAAGCTTCACACACAACAATGGCGCGCACAGACACACACTTGCGACTCACGCCTTATTAATGGCGGTCAGGTTACACACATATCCCACGCCCATGGCTCCAAGCATAAATCGGGATGGCGCCACGCCTCTGCATACGGGCGAGCGCGCGGCGTGCTTGCTTGCGTGCAACCCAACCCACGCCTAGTTTATCAGTAGTTGACGACGGAGCGGTAGGTGCCGCCGGGCTTCCAGCCGGTGGGGATGACGTTACTCGCCACGAGGGGCTTGCCGGAGCTGGAGGTGAGGCGGACCGAGAAGGGCGCCTGCAGCATGGCCCCGGAGTTGTACCTCCACACCGCGCCCCACGACCGGTCCATCTTGGTCCAGCCGGCGCCGTTGCCGCCGCTCTGCATGAGCTCCACCGACGACAGGTCGCCGTCGCCGTCCTCGTACTCGATGAGCATGGCGAGGTAGTAGGAGTTGGAGCCGGCGTCCACCTTGAAGGCTATGTCCATCCCCGGCCAGCTGCACGGGACCCTGCAGCATGCAGCCACACGCACGGATGCCAGGGCCAAGACAAGGCACGGCGGTTAGTCGGTCGGCTAGGAAAGCGGCATACCGTGTGCGTGCCGGTGCACGCTTGCCGCTCTTTTACGTGCGTCCGGACACGCAGCTAGCTAGCTTACCGTGTGCCGTTTGCCGTTTGCATGAAAAAACTCACGTGAAGATGCATGCATCCAGCTTACCGTGTGTACTGGATTTGGAGACGTCCGGCCGCGCGGAGCTGGTCGGCCTGGCCGGGCTTCGCCATGCCGCCGAACGCCGTCCCGCTCAGGTCGAAGTGGACGGGCTCCTCCTGGCACGTCCCGTCAGGGCAAAAGTCGGTGAGGACGACGGTCACCGGGCTGGACGAGCAAGAGCCGTGGCCGGTGCACTTCACCTGCAGAATTTACGTCACAGGAATGCGCGCGGGTGTAATCAAGTTAAGCCGACTAGTTGACAACGCGGCGTTAAAATTAAGAGCTGGTTGTATGATCGACGGACCTGGTAGCAAGAGCCGCAGCCCTTGCCGTCCTGGTAGATGGACGGGCTGCCGGCGGCGATCATGGAGGAGAAGGGCGGCTGGTCGACGGCGTCCTGGTACCCGCATGCACCACCTACAGATCGTGCATGCAGAGCGTTACTTGCACAATGCTGGAGAAATTAAATAGTTTTTATGTTCGTCCATGTACTAATTACCGTCGCTCCCTGCGCCGTTGGGGCCGCCGTACCAGGTGGCGCCGCCGTTGGACCAGCCGGAGAGCTTGCGGTGGAGCTCGACGGACGCGCAGGGGCTAAGGAGGAAGGCCAGGGCCATGAACACGGTGAAGGACGCTGAGATCTTGGCCACGGAAAAGGCCATGCCTCTCTTTTTCACTGACGATCACTAGAGTACAAGGAGGAGGAAGAGACTGAAGTAGAGGGGTGGCCTTGGTGTGTGCTAGGAAGTGTACTCCTCGCCTCCATTTATAGGCGGCAGGCAGGCAGATGGTAGGGTGCACCGCCGAGTGATCGCGGGCAGTGATTAAATTCTTTTCTTCTGAGAAAATAAAAATGAATTATACTTGCTGTTTACATTGTATAAACTGTTTTATAAAATGTCACTATTTTTTAAGAAGGCATAAATATTTATTAGAATGTCACGTACATTTGTTAGAGTAGTACTTAAATTTTTTATATATACATGATAATTTTTTACATTATATAAACATTTTTTAAAAAGTTAGGTATACTTTTCTAATGATACAAATCATTTTTCTAAATTTGTGAATATTTTTGAACATTTATAGACATTTTTTCTAATGGAACGGACATTTTCGAAGTGTGTGAATATTTTATGAATGTCACAATTTTTCCAATTTTTATCAACATTTTTTAAATTCGTATGAGTATTTTTTACACTGCATGAATATTTTTTAACAACTAATTATTGTTTCTAGTTATTTAAACAAAATGTGTATCAATTTCAAAGATATAAATAAAAGTATTAAAACAACATAAAAAGAAAAATGTGCGCTATGGCCAGCCCTGCCTCCCGCAATGGTTTGGCTCATACTCCATCTGTTCCAAAATAAATGACTCAACTTTATATTAACTTTAATACAAAATTAATATAAAGCTGGATCATCTATTTCAGAATGGAGGGAGTATATGGGAGTGCCTGATGCGATGGGTTCTTTCGGCTTGCTATTTAGCAAGACAAGGCCCTTCCACCAAATTACCTAAGAAAACCTACAAAAAAGGATGCACGTTTAGCTATTTAGTTTTCGGAGGCATGCACTTCACATATCTAATTAATGAGTGTGTGATTGTTTCTTGCACATACTCCTTCCATTCCAAATTACTCCTCGTGATTTTAGTTCAAATTTGAACTAAAATCACGATGAGTAATTTGGGACAGAGGGAGTATGACCTAAGTGCATACTAAAGAACTTAAATGAGTTTTTTTTGCATTAACTAGCACGATCACTAGTAGAAAACAGGGCACTAGTTCCGGTTTCAGAGGGCCTTTAGTCCTGGTTCTGGAACCGAGACAAAACGGTCGGGTCTAATGCCCATAACCTGTTAGTCTCGGTTGGCTTATGAACCCGGACTAAAGGAGCTTCAGTTGGCCGCTGTGGGGCGCCCAGGCAGGAGGACCTTTAGTTCCAGTTGGTAGCCACGCGTCAGCAGCTCGCAGGCGCTGGTTTTTTATGGAAGGGGAGGAGGGTTAGGGGTTTCATACTCCCTCCGTTCTAAAATATAGGGCTTCCTTTATTCCCTTGCTTCAACTTTGACCATAAATTTAACCAACGAGACCGATTGTGGCGAGCAAAAATTATACCAGTGAATTCGTATTTAAAAGAAGTTTTTAATTATATAATATTTTTCTCCCGCCGCAGTCAGTCTCATTGGTTAAATTTATGGTCAAAGTTGGACCTTGGAAAGCGTGTGCGCACTATATTTTGGAACGAAGGGAGTATTATATTAGCTAGCTAATAGAGAGAAGTGACCTTTCTTTCTCCGTGCTTGGTCGATGCTAGCTACTACACATATAGAGAGAACTCGACGCTAGCTAGTAAGAAAATGAAGAAAGTCATTAATTACACAAGATCGTCATGAACATATATAGAGAAGTGACCTCTCTTTCTTCGTGCTTGGTCGAACAATAAGTTTTCATATATCTATCCGACGCTACTACATATATACAGTATAACATCCCTGACATGATTAAGCGCCAAACTCCCATTGAATTTGTATATGGTATTCTCCCTTTTCATGTATGACATGGTCAAGAAAAAATCCCACCAATTCCTCTTGAATTGCTCGTATGCGACCATGTGGTAGGAGTTCATCCCGCATCTGCGGGATCTAATTTAAAGAAGGGGGGTCAATACATATATATGAATGAAAATCAACACAATTGATGGTAATAAAATAAAATTGTGAATATTATTTACGTACTTCAAATTGTTTGTCAGAGTAGCCCCACTCAGAGGTCGAGTGGCGAATGAACTCGCAAACATAGTATCCACATAAATTATTCCCGCTTGCCTGCCACAAGCATTTTACAAGAATAGAGTTCAATCAGACTGATAATTAAGCATGATAATGGTATTGATGAAATTAGAATCAATGAGAGATGTGCGGAACTAGCTAGTACTACTTACTTTCAGGTGTGTAAATCGCAGCTCGTTCTTAAGACCCGAAACCATTCCGATGAACTGTTTCCAAACCCTACCAGGCAAAGAAAATGATTACTTGATATTAGGAAATGAACGGAAGTTGTCGATATGGTGCGATAATGATTGAACTTACTTCTGGAGCATTGCAGTCATGTCCGCATAATCCTCGGGATCTTTGCGTCTAAGTCTAAGACAGTTACTATTCCCCCGTCAAGCTTAATGGATAGCAAAATAAAATGGAACCTGCGTACGCATAAATCATCAATTAAAGTACTTAACCTCGAATAAGCGAAACAGAATATGCACAAGACAGTAAAACTCATTTAAAATTGTAAGGAAAGAGTATTCCCCTTCTGTTTTGATGTCGAAGGAACGCTTTCACTACTGGAATCAGCTTCTTTGCCGTCTGCCATGGCGGACGGCAAAGGCATAGATCCCGGACGGCAAATTTCTTTGCCGTCTGCCAGCAGACGGCAAAGATTCAAAGGTCTTTACCATCCGCTGGCAGACATCATAGCTGACCAAATAGGCAGCCAGTGTTCCCAGTGTCTACATGTAGCTACCACGTGTCCTCTTTGCCATCCGCTAGCGGACGGCAAAGAGGCTATATATCCCCTGTTTTTATTTATATCCATTTAATTTCACAGGAATTCACACACAGATAGACATATTTTTTTCACAGGCACAACAGACATATGATGTATCCAACACATAGCTCCATCTATGACAACATACATACATAAGAAACACAGCTCCATCCATACATATTACAGTAATATCACAATGTTCATCCAACACATTGTTCCATGCATCCATATAACAAGTTCCACATTATTCTTCGATACAAATGAAAAGAAGAACAGGGAAACAAGCACTCCATCCATGCAAGCTTCCATATAGTGAATTAATTCTACAAAATGGGAAACAAGAAAGTTAGAAGAAGAAGACTAGAAGAAGAAGAAGAAGAAGTCCTATTCCTTCTTTTCTTCCTCTTCCTTGATTTTCTTCATCTTATTATGTCATTTGTGGACTAAATAGGCTAAATTATGTCATAAATGGACTAAATAGGCTAAATAAGAAGAAAATGCCATTTTTGAGCTAACCTAGCTAATTATGCCATTTTGACCTAACTCAGCGTATTGTGTCATTTTAGAGGACAACAAGCTAAGTATATGACATTTATGAGGTTAGCAAGGTTATTATGCCATTTACGAATAAAAACAAGTAAGAGGAGGAAAAGAAGAAGAAGAATAAGATCTTCTTCTTCTTCCTATTCCTTCTTTCCTTCATCTTCCTTGATTTTCTTCATCTTATTATGTCATTTGTGGACTAAATAGGCTAACTTATGTCAAAAATGGACTAAACATGCTAAATGAGAAGAAAAATACCGTTATCATGGAGGTGTAGGAATGGTCGGGGTTGCGCCAATGGCAGACGGAGGTGAAGGACCGGTCGGGGTTCAGGCATTGGCAGATGCAGAAGGATTGGTCGATGCTTGTCGGGAGCCATGTTGCACCAAAGATCATTTCCAATAATGTCTCGTTAGCATGATGCAAACTGAAATGTGAATAGTAGTAACTAAGGACCATTCAAATCAAACTCACCATGGTCGCCGGAGCAATCTGGGGCATCAGCGGAGGGGCCTGACCATTTTTGTCGCACATGGTCTACACATTTGGTTCTCACGAGTCAGTCATATTAGTTAGTAATGTGAACATTACATGCATGATTGGGATAATATGCACGAGAAACGTACCACGATGAGCTCGTATAGGGCCCGGTTAGACGCCTCGTTTCGGTTCCTCTCCTCCTCCAGCAGCTTAGCCGTCCTCTCCTCCATCTCCCTCTCTCTATCCACCGCCTCCCTTTTTGCCTCCTCCAAAAGCGCCTGGGTCTTCAATCTGTCTTTCTCAACCAATGCCTGCAACACACCACTCCTCGTTAGCATTGTAATCATCGATGGACGCACACACAATGTAATGGAGGAAAGGTGAGAGAGTCTGTATAACTAACCGCCATGGCGAGCTCCGCGGGCCGTGCACGAGTCGTTATCTCAGGATTAGAGCTATTCAGGCGCTTCTTGATCTGCGGGAGAGTCCTAGGACAACGTATCAGTCCATCACCAATGGCTTGAGAGCCATGGGACCTCCCGCCACCAGATATCATCACCAGCTCTGTATCAAAAGGATCCTGGCTCGGGTTAAAGTCCTCCCCTTTCCTCCCCTTCCCCTCGTCTCTATACTTCACAAGCTTGTGGTGGGAGGAGATGTTGGTGAAGCTCTCTAGATGATCTAGGTCAGACTCCGTGAATGGCTTGGCCTTCTTGTACGGGGCCATATGGGCCATGCCATAGAGGTCAAACAGATTTGGCACAGGCTTCTTGTGGTGGTGCGCCTGAGAGAGAGGAACAAAATATTAGTTAAGGGCTCAAGCTAGCATGAAGAATGATATTGCTATGTAAATAGGTCATTTTGGAGCTAAGAAAGGTTATTATGTCATTTTCGAGGAAAATAAGCTAAGTTTACGTCATTTTCGAGGTAACCAAGATTATTATGCCATTTTGACCAAAGTATGCTAATTATGTCATTATTGACCTATCCAAGGTAGTTATGACATTTTTAGCTAACTATAGCATATTTAGGCATTCTATAGAGCTATCTAAGGTTATTATGTCATTTTAGAGCTAATTGTGTCATGA